TTAATTACTGTATTTATCCCAGTAATCTAATATATTTCATAAGGTTGCATATAAAGGGATCACTATGAAGCTGGCCTGGTGGCACGTGCACTGTGGGAGGCTGAGGCAGAAGGATGGTGTGAGCCCAGCCTAGGCAACTTACCCTATCTTGACAAAACAATAAATAAAGGTAGTAAGATCCTGTATAACTTTTGCTTTTGGGTACTCAGTTTTGAAATCCAGAGTGTGTGTTACACCTCACAGCAAGCTCTTCGCAGTGCACATGAGCTGCGCTTCTCTGGGCAGCCTCGCGTGGTTAGTGGCGCCCTGCGGACAGCCCGGGTCTGTACCGTGGTCTCGGGCTCAGGCTGGCTGGGACCTCTCCTGCCTCAGCCCCTGCCCTGCCCCTCCCAGCGCTTTTCTCTCATGCCTGCCCCAGCCACACCTAGTGATCTGCCATTCTTCCCTCATTACCCTTCCTGCCTGTGGAAATCTCACCAACACTCGGGGCTGTTGTTTGCCGCTTCTGAAAGCGTCTGTCCTGACCCTCCCGTGGTGGCACTTAGGGGAGCTGTTGCCCAGTGCTGGTGAGCACTTAGGCTCCCTGCTAGCGGGGCAGCAGCCCAGGCGGGCTGGGTCTCCCTCAGGCCTCTGTTCCTACCACAGCAGACACAGTGTAGGGACACGTGCGTGGGCCCCACTATCACTTGTGTCAGGTGAACTACTGACATCTTTGAACTCTTAAGCAGTTTCTATAAAAATTATTTTACCTTTGAAATTATATACTAAGTAAAATTTCCTTTATATCTAGATCAGATCGTTTAAAAATGTTTTTATTCTTTGTGGTCTAAGGCTTTTGCTTATGCAAGAGGACATACTAATTTCTATGTAGAAATAACCACTGAATATGGATAAAACTTGGTTTCAAATAGACATGTGGTACAGTCTATAGGTTATTCTGGTTTTTTCCTGATTCTGAGCTGGAATAGCACTCTTCCTATTATATAACTTATCCTTTATAAGTAAACTTCTGGTGTAGTCTAATGCTTTTTCTCCACAGCTTTATTTGAAAGTGTGGTGCTTTTGAGTTTGTTTGTTGTTGTTTTTTTTCCTGAAGGGATTTTGCCACTGGAGTTTACCTGGCATGTTTTGCATATGTCAGAAGCAAAGCAGGTGCTCAAAAGGTGGTACTGTTTTCTGGTGGAAATCTGATTAATGTTGAAGGACTGTGTCAAAAGTCAGATTCCACCTGCTGACATTTAGTGAGGGCCAGGAATGACTATATAAATGCTATCTTGGATTTTAATGGTTTTCTTGTGAAGGACATTTATAGATGAAACCAAGTTGTGTTTAATTGGTTTTATAAGTGAGAGATTGGTTACAAAGAAATTCTTCCTTAGAGCAGGGAGTTGTTTGAAAAGAATGATTCATCACGTGGTGTTGTAAGGACTGTAATTGTACTGTGTTTTAACCCAAGTTGTTGAGTGTAAAATTGTGGTGAAATCTTAACCCCAGTGAAATAAGAATTCCTGAAAAGACTTCCTCAGAAGTTATCCTAAAAAACACTCTCACTGGTTTGCCACATTTATTTACAACTGCTTGAACAACAGTAAATGGTGACCCTACTCCTGGTAGGGGAGATTTTAGCCATCCCTGGGGCTTCTCTTCCTACTCCAAGGCCCAGCCTCTCACCAGGGCAGCGAGTCAGACTGAAACCGATTGCTTACTTGGCCTCCTGCTTCTGCTTTTACTCCCCACACAGGGGGCTGAAGAAACTTTTCCTTTTTAAACTTTATTGCCATATTATTATCATCATTATTGAAACTTTTTATTTTGGAAAGATTCGAATATATAACAAAATAGACGCATGTACCCCTCATTCAGTTCCAGCAGTGACCTGTTCGTGACCAAGCGCGTCTCATCCACTCCCCCTCTCATCCAATCCCCTTCTTCCCAGTTATTTTGAAATGAATTCCAGGCTTCATGTCATTTAGTCAGCTAGTTTGGAATTTCCCCAGAGTGAAATTTTGCTTCCTGGTTGGTCACAAGGTGGGGAAAGTTGCTGTGTTAGTGGTGATAAATTCTTTGCCACCTTCTTTATTGGATTCTAATCCTGTGCTCCTGAGCTGTTTCAAGATGTGTTCTGTAACTGCCATCACCATAAAAAATAACTTCATGTATCCTTTTGTGTTACACCAGTTTTGTACCAAGTGAATCATAAAAGATGTGTTTGAAATTTGATGTACAAAAAATTGTAAATGTATGGGGACAGTGGTTCATGCTCAGAATTTTTTTTTTTTTTTTTTTTTAAAGATGTAGTCTTGCTGTGTAATTCAGCCTGGCCTTGAACTCATTTTATAACGCTGTCTGGCCTCCAGCTCATAGCAGTCCTCCTGCCTCAGCCTCCTGAGTGCTAGGATTACAGGTGTGCGCTGCGGTGCCCTGCAGAAAGTCTTTTTTTTTTTAAACTGGGGATTGAAGTCAGGCCCTTGCACTTGCCAGGGAAGTGCTTATTCCACTGAGCCATTTCCCTGGCCCCCCTGCAGAAAGTCTTAAAACATTATTAAATTTTTGCTAGGGATGTAGTTTAGTGGTAGAGTACTTGCCTAACATGAATGAGGCCCTGGGTTTGATCCCCAGCATTTCAAACTAATAATTTTTTCTTTAATTTTTAAAAATCATGGTGCATGCTAAGGATAAAAATTAAATTCAGGCAATATAGATAGTATGAAGGCAGACTTTTTTTTATTCATTAATTGCTTTCAGTCTTATATCTACTTTTTAAAGAATTTTTTCTTGTACTTCTAGAAATTATGTTAATATTTTTTGGATATCCTTCCAGAAAGACCATTTAAAACCTTAATAATGTATATATTTGTCATTTTCCCTTTGTTTCTCTGAACTCAGTGGGGCAGAAATTTATTTTTATGTTGAAAAGAATTTTAGTCAGGAGGCTGAGGCAGGAGGATCTTGTTTGAATTCAGCCTGGGCTATATAGTCCATCAAGGCCAACCCGGAGTACATAGAAAAAGACCACCTCCAAAGTGAAAATAAATAAAATAACTGGCTTGGTGTTTTGTATGGAATTGAAGAGATTGCATGATGTTGACTTTAATGTTTTGTTGACTTTATTGAACACTAGTTTTATTTATTTATTTAGTTAGTTAGTTTTAGGAAAGGGTCTACAGGGTGTTCTGGGTGTCACTACTAGATCCGGGTGTCACTACTATTCGGACTCGTAGTGATCTGCCCGTTTACAGCCTCCCAAGAGCTGGGATTATACGTGCTTAGTCTCAATTGCTGTCTCAGTACACCCCGGAGGCGGGGCAGGGCCAGCACGGCAGGCCCAGGAATCAGACTCCCGAACTCCTGGCCCCTGTGCCTGTTTACAGGTGTTTTAATCCGCTGAGCCATTTGGCAGGCCCTTAGTTTGTTCTTGATAAAGAAGCCCCCGACCCGCCCCCCCCCCCAAGTACCAGGGATTGAACTCAGGACCCTGCGCTTGCCAGGCAAGCACTTATTCTACTGAGCTGTATCTCCCCAGGCCCTGATAAAGAAGCCTTTAAGCAGGTTACAAACCCAACAACTCTTGGACCTGTGAGAATTTGTGCAGTAGTGTTGTCCAGTAAAATATAATGTGAACCACATACATGATGTCACATTAAAAATAAACGTGGAATTAATTTCATAGTATATCTATTTAGTGCATAAATTTAAAAAAAATGTTTCAGTATGGGGCCAGGGAGACAGTTCAGTGGTGTAAGTGCCTGCCTGGCAAGCATGAAGTCCTGACTTTGATCCCCAGTACTAAAAACAGAAAATTTTTTTTCGTGTGTAATTGACATAAAATTTTATACTTTTAAACCAGGCATCGTGGTTCACAACTGTAATCCCAGCACTTGGGAGGCTGAAGCAAGAGGCCAGCCTGGACTACATAGGGAGACCCAGCCTCAACCAAAAGAAAAAGAAAAAATTTTACACTTTTTCATACTAAAATTTCAAAATCCAGCATATATTTTACACTGGCCATGCATCTCAGTGTGGCCAGCCCCGTGGGAATGTAATGGCTGCTGCATGTGGCACGCCCTGTACGGGGTGGTGGCTACTTCTGGGGAAGATGGAAAGGGCTGGGATGTGTTCTTCATTCTGTTCTTTCTTTCTTTTCTTTTTTTTTTTTTGCAGAACCTGGAATTGAACTCAGGCCCTTGTACTTGCCAGGCAAGTGCTCATTCTACTGAGCCATCTCCCCGGCCCCTCTTTTTTTCTTTTTTTAACATGTTTGATTGTTGTAGGGTCTCACTACGCAGCTTAGACTCATGGTGATCCTCCTGCTTTCAGCCTCCCCAGTGCCGGGATTACAGGCAAGCACCACTACGCTCAAACTCTGGCCAGCTCAGCTTACCCTTGGGGCGGGGCTGGCACAGCTTATGGTGCCAGGGATCGAACCGTAGTCCCTGCACTTGCCTAAGCAGGCAGTTTAGTCCACTGAGCTATCTTGCTGGCCCCTTTTATTTCATTTATTGACACATATCTGGCATTTAGTATTTCCTGTTTTCTTGTGTCCTTTTTTTTAATGTGTGCATGCTGGGAGTAGAATCCAGGGCTCCACGAATGCTAAATCACACTGGTCCTGAGCTGCACTCCCAGCCCTGCCTCTTGTGATCTTAACTACCGCAGACTCACTTGTGTCATCATAGCCTTATAGCCTCAGTACTTTTGAGAAAAGTCATTCTTAGCACATCGATGCCAGTAGTCACTCTTCTATACCAAGGCAGTGATGAAATTGAACTCTTGGCTAGGAGGCCGTGTCACCCTATAGCATCGATATGAAGGAAAGACTGCCTTCTGAGCAGAGCGTGACTTAGGAGTAATGATGTGCGATACGTTAAATAACACTTCATTTTGAATTGGGGAAGATACATGCACTAGCACTCCGAAGAGCAAATGGGGTAAGAATTCTTGAGAAAGTTGGTGACAGTGTTCTTTAATTTTATTTCTTTATTTCTTTCTTTATTTTTTAGGGGTGGCAGATGGTGTAGGAGGATGGAGAGACTATGGAGTTGACCCGTCTCAGTTCTCAGGGACTTTAATGCGGACATGTGAACGCTTAGTAAAAGAAGGACGGTTCGTACCAAGTAATCCCATTGGAATTCTTACCACAAGCTACTGTGAGTTGCTGCAAAATAAAGTACCTTTGCTTGGTAAGTAGATGGCTGTGTGTATCCTCTGAAGAAGCCACTGAAGGGTTAAAACAAAACGGAGAAACTGATTTGCCATCCTGGCTTTCTTCTGAGGCTTTTCCTGGTGAGCAGTTTGGAGAAGCTAGGGCTAAGCAGAATGCAGGATACTGCCTGGAGGGAATGTAAATAGGCACAGGCACTTGGGAAAACAATCAGGTATTGCCAAATAAAATTAAACATGGACATACAGCACACCCAGCAGTTCTCCTCTAGGTGTTTCCATTAGACTACAGAAAGAGCTAAGTGTAAGAATGTTCCAGCAACACTGTCAGTAATAGCAGAAAACTGGGAACAGCCTAAAAGTTCATCACAGTAAAAAGTGTTGTGAAAAGAAACAAATTCAAGCTGCTTGCGAAACTCTGGAACATCTTACGAAGGGGAAAGGAGGACACTGCAGAGTACTGTCGTGTAGTTCCAATTGAGAAACATACAAAGTTAAAAATGGTTTGTCTGGGGTTCTAAAACCTCGTAAAAGAAGAAAAGAAAGCAAGAGCTTAGAGTCTTCAGAACCTGAGTCTCCGGGGAGGGAGCAGGACCAGGGCCTGACCCACAGAGAGGTGAAGGCACTGACCACCACCCCAGACGGCGAACGGCAGATTGGTCCATGAAATAGCTTGACACAAAGAAGATCCCTGTGATACTCTTGTATTGGAAAGCTTAAAACTGAACACCTCACTGTTTATTTATCTGATATGCTAATGGAGCATCATTTGGCCAGGCTTCTGTATTTGTTTGTTAAATGGTTTCCTGGGAACCTGCCCAGCCTTCTAAGCTGACTCTCAGAAAGGATGTCACTAAGTTTCTGTTCATTGCTAGCATCTTTCTGGTTCCTAGAAGGCTCCCTCCTAGACACCATCCACATCTATAATCAGCCTCTGTTCAATCGTAAGACAGATTGCCACGTTGTCTGTCTGTCTTCAGCTTCAGTCCTCTTTAGAGGGATTCTTTTTATCACTCTGCCATCTTAGTCTTCTCTGTGCTACAACCAGTTTTCCTTATAACTAGAAAGAAAGCTTGTCTTGCAGTTTTCTGTGCACGCTGCTTTTCTTAATATCCCCCATTGGATTTGCAACCTGGAGGTTATCTGGCACAATCAAGCGTTCAAGATGCTATTTCTAGCACCCCTCTGTAAATGTGCTGTATGGTTTTGGTCAATCCACTTAACCGGTGACCCTACCAGTTTATCTGTTAAGTGGGAGAGGTCCAGGACTGACTCCTGCCTGTGCCCCTTCTGTCTCTCTGCGCCCCATCGTTTACTTTCACTTTGGACAGCCTATTACAAAACACCTGCCTGGCCCACTTCTTTGCACTTTAGCCCTTTGATATTGTGCTGTGCTTTCGCCTTTACTGTGCTTCGCTTCCTGTTACCTTCATGCAACTTGGGAGTATTAATGAAATTAAGGGCAGGTTAAGATTTACTTACATTGACTATTATGATTACCTTTTTTCCCTGAAAGACGCATTGAAATAATTCTCTGTTGCCATCTTTAATACACTCACATCTCCCTCCCCTAATCTACACATCTGGATTGTTTGTAACTGAACAAGCAAATTTTGACAGAGATAGGCTGCTAAGTCGTACTGAACCGCAGTTAAGATGTAATTGTAAATAATAATGACTCTACTAGACTAGTCATCTTTTAATTGCCAAAGCCTTAGAAAGTAAATCAAGCATAACAAGCAAGCCAGTAGCTATGCTGTTTATTTCTTTAGATGTCTAGCTGTTCTGGGGACTGGGTTGGGCATCACAGGCTTGTTGGCCTGTATTTCCCTAGAGACCCTAAGTACATTCATAAATCAGGATGTCTTTAAAATTTGAGGGTTTAGTCCTGAGGTTATCCTTTTCTCTGCTGCACAAAAGGCTTTAGTAGCTTACAAAATAAGGGCCTTGGTGATATAAGTATTTTCATTTTAGCAGGAAAGACCTGCCTGAGCCACTCACGTGAGCACCGGCTACTCTCGGCACTTCCTTTCGTGCTCTTCCTCACATGCTTACTCCCCTGCGGACAGGAGAATGTCAGCCCCTCCCCAGTACTGGGCTCACCGGCCTGAGTCAGGTGCACATGGCAGTAACTTGAGGAGGCCTTGGAGCAGCAGACATCAGGAGCCTGACACTTCTACAAGGCTGGGTGTGCGTGGTGCTTTGGATTCTCAAGTCTCCCAAAGACCATTTTGATTCTAACTCAGTATGTTACTTACTGCACAGGGGCAGCAGAATGATAGCCTGGGCTTGTCAGTCGTGACGAGTCAACATGAGCCTTTCCTATGGCAGACTTGAAAGGCCGTGCGGCTCAGGTCATTTTTCATTCTCAGCGGGATCTAATTCTATCATGTCTCGGAAAACCTTTTACATAATTATATTAATGATAAATAGTCGGATTTTTGTGCATCCGGCTAGGATGGAAAGCTGATTGGTGCCCTTTTGCTCCTGTGAGCTATGGAGCAGATTCTGGCAACACTACTAGTTAGAACACCTGTTTTTTCCTTTGATAAAAAGGAACAGGAAACCAGTGGCATAGCTTTAGCGTCAGGCTAGCTCCACCAGTGCATATACTTTAGCTAACAAGGACATGGAATTCCTGAGCATTTAAGGATGAGAAAGCTGTGCATATTGTAGTTGTCTGCATTGATGCATATTTTCAGTAGACAAAAATAACAGGTACCTAAAGTTCTACTAAGAAAACTATTAGTACTATGGTGATTATGCTCCCAGATTTATTCTTTCATTTTATGTGGACAGTAATGGTAAGTGGACTTGAGTCTCCTGTGTGCTCACAAGAGAGCTGGGTCCACGGTGCTTTCATTCCCATTTTGTTAGGAAGAGGCCGGTCTAGAGGAAATTGGCCCTCGCTCAGGTCGCAGCTAGACAATGATGCTGCCCTGGGATTCACGTGGCTGCTTCCACAGCCTGTCTGCCTTGCTTTTTAACCATCAGTTGAACAGGTTAGACTTTGCATATTATTGCTTCTTTCTTTTTGTTTACAGTAAACTTCACTCTTTTTTGATATACAGTTCAAATTTTAATGGCACAGTTGTTTAAAGCAAACTTTTAATACTAATTGGTGGGGCTAGCGAGGTAGCTCAGTGGACTAAAGTACCTGCTTAGGCAAGCACAGGGACCATGGTTTGATCCCTGGCACCACATACCATGCCAGCCCCACCCTCAGGGCAGGCTGAACTGGCCAGAATTGGGCTCCCCAGCACTGGGGAGGCTGAAAGCAGGAGGATCGCCACGAGTCCGAGCTCTGTAGTGAGACCCTGTAACAACCAAATACATTTTTAAAAAAGACAAAAGAAAGCTAATTGGTTACCTGTTTCACTTATTTTTCCAAGTATGTTTCTCTAACATAATTTTAATTTCTGTTAAATAGTTAATACTATGTGTTTTAAGTGTTTGACATGACTTACCTAGTTCTATTTTTTTAGTACTGGGAATTGAACTCAGGACCTTGTGCTTTCCAGGCAGGTGCTTGTGCTGCTGAGCTCTATTGCAAGCCTTTGAGACAACTGTATGAGTTGGTTACTATTAGTCCTAATTTGCTAGGTGAGGAAACTGGGGCACAGAGAGGTTAAAAAGCCTTGGCCCCAAGTCACACAACTGAAAAATGGCGCAGCGAGGATTCACATGCAGGCATGCCAACTCCCAAGTCTGTGCTTCTCTAAGGGTGACATGTGTTTACGCAAATATATCATAATTTAATCCCTTAGTTTTAATGTTTATGTTGTTTTGAGTTCTTCCTTAATGTTTTTGTACTTGAGTCTTGCATCTGTAATTTTTTTCTTTTTTCTTTTTTCTTTTTTTTTTTTTTTTTTTGTCTTTTTGAGACAGGGTCTTGCTGTGCATTTCAGGCTGGCCTTGAACTCATTTTTGTAGCTCAGGCTGATCTCGAACTCACAATGATCCTCCTGCCTCATCCTCTTTAGTGCTGGAATTATAGGTGTGTGCCACCATGCCTAGCTGTAATTATTTTCGTAGGATAAATTTTCATGAGTGGAATTGCCCAGTCAAAGGACAAGTACATTTTCCAGGGATATTTTGCCCTTTAAAATGTTCATTGTGGGACTAGTGAGATAGCTCAGTGGTCTAAAGCACCTGCTTAAGCAATTTTAGGCAAAGTGCAGGGGCCAGGGTTTGATCCCTGGCCCCATATGTCACTCCAGCCCCACCCCCAGGGCAGGCTGAGTCTGCCACAAAAAAAAGAATAATAAACTGTTCATTGTACGCTTCACCTTGGGGTGAGAGTGAGCAGTTCACTACACCCCTACACTGTTGCCAGGATCATGCATTATTTTCTTTTTTTTTTTTTGGCGGAACCAGGGATTGAACTCAGGCCTTTGTGCTTGCCAGGCAAGCGCTTATTCTACTGAGCCATCTCCCCGGCCCCAATTATTTTCTTTTGACTCAAGTTAACTAATAAGGTTATTGATGTGGTGATCTCTTTCTTTTCTTTTTCTCTCCTTTTTTTTTTTTTTTTTTTTGTACCAGAGAATTTTAGGACCTCATGCTTGCTAGGCAGGCTGTGTGCCACTGAGCTGTGTTCCCGGCCCTGGACTTTTTTACACATTACAAACCGCTTACAAACTGCTTGATTTTCTGCGCTGCTATTTTCCTGGTAGAGGGTTCGGTCTCCATTGGAAGTGACACCTTCCCTGTGCCTGAGAGCAGTGGCGAGCAGGGGCTCAGTGTGGCAGCAGCTCAGCTGAGGGCTCTTCCCTCTGAACACTGCTATCTGTAAAGCAGACAGGTTGCTTACACAAGCGACCTGCGACAGTTGGCCTTGTTACTTCATAGTGAGTCATTGGTCTCCAATAAAAATTCATTGCTTCAACAGCTGAAAATCAGGTTTTAAATTGTGGTTATGTGTTCTGTCTCAAATGTTAACGAATTTTTTGGAGAAGAATGACTTATGAGAACTGGAGGAAAATGTAGCATTATCACTCTGGCATTTAAGTATTAAAACTCAGTGGCGGCATGCTTTGGTGGGTTTGACATAGATTATAACACAAATGAAATGGGGTCATGTGACTAGGTGCCAGTCCTTTTTACTTTCTCTGCAAAAGACAGGCCCGGGTGGCTCACTTACCGTGTGGAATGTAAATCCCTCTTTCCCCACGGTGTTGACCCTGATCGCATCGCTGACCTTCGTGGGCATATGGATTGTTACTAAGAAAGTCCAAATTTGACAAAAGATTCATAGTATATGCTGTTGCTTTTTGGAATTACATGATAAGGTGTCTCCAGAGCCAGAAAAGAGAAAAACGAATGTCCACTTTGTTTCTAGGTAGTAGCACTGCTTGCATCGTGGTGCTGGACAGAACGAGCCACCGCTTGCACACAGCGAACCTGGGTGATTCGGGCTTTCTGGTGGTCAGGGGTGGTGAAGTTGTGCACCGATCAGATGAGCAGCAGCATTACTTCAACACTCCGTTCCAGCTCTCGATCGCGCCCCCGGAAGCCGAGGGAGTCGTATTGAGTGACAGGTAAGCTCCCCGCAGCCACCTTTGAGCGGGATATGGTGCCCCCACAGGTCCCCTCCCACCCCTGTGAGTGCTTTGGGATAGGCGTTTTCCATTTTCCTGCAAGAGAAGGCACAGTGAGAAAGTGCTCAGCAAGAGGACCTTCTAGTCAGGCTTTGAGAACTATCTTGCTTGACCTACAAGTTGAATTCCGGTAGACACCCAGTACCTGATACTGTGTCAGATGTGCTCAGTTCTCATACCAACACGTAGTATGTGCAGTGTTGCAATCTCTGTTAAATTGTGGTGGAGAAAGTCCTTGTTCACACATCATTGCCCTATCAAGGTTTTGCATACAGTATTGGGGAAGCCCACCTATAGATGCCTGCTTTATCTGTTAGAATATCTTGCTGACTTCTTCTTTAATTTTTTTTTTTTTTTTGGTGGAACCGGGGATTGAACTCAGGCCCTTGCACTTGGTAGGCAAGCGCTTATTCTACTGAGCTATTTCCCTGGCCCCTCTTGCTGACTTCTGTAGTCTTTTCCTTTCTTTTCTTTTTTTGGCTAGTGGTGATTGAACCCAAGACCTTCACACTGAACTATATAGCCCAGCCCCTTTAATTTTTTTTATTTTGAGATCAGATTGTGCTAAATTGCAGTTACCCAGGCTGGGCTAGATTTGCAATCCTCCTGCCTCACCCTCCCAGAGTACAGGGATTACAGATGTGTCCCATCATGCTGGCTTGGATCCTCTTACATGCATCCCATAGAACCAGAGGAGAGTCAGAAGTGGTCTTGTTGTACGAGTGGTCTGTGACATTGTCCTTGAAGAGGCTCAGTCTTTTTTTTTTTTTTTTTGCGGAACAGGGGATTGAACTCAGGCCCTTGTACTTGCCAGGCAAGTGCTTATTCCACTGAGCCATCTCCCTGGCCCTGGCTCAGTCTTTTTGATCTCTCTCAGTTCATTCTTAGTTAAGAATCTTCCAAGATAGGGGGCCGGGGAGATGGTTCAGTAGAAGGATCTGAGTTCAATCCCCGATTCTGAAAAAAATGAATCTTCCAAGATAGTTAGAACTTTTGGAATTAACCTCATGATTTGTTTTAGATTACAGTAACACTAAGGTTTCACTGCCTTTTCTAATCATGTAGGATCTGGCACAAAGAATGTCGGCAGTTCATAAATGGTAATGAACCTTGTCTCGGTTTTCTCTCATTGCTGGGACACAATCCCTGGTACCTAAAATTAGGGAAGAAAAGGTTCATGTAGCTCACAGTTTGTGGAGGTTTCAGTCCGTACTCAGCTGGCTCCAAGGCAGAGCGGCACGTGGCGAGGGCAGCAGTCCATGGGGAAGGAGGACGGCAAAAGCAGGAGGAACAGAAAGGGCGGCGCGGTGGCCGGGCGCAAGCCTCTTTCCCTCCCTTCTGTTGCACTCAGGCTCTCTAGCCCAGAATTTGCAGCTCTCCTACCTTGACCTCCCCAGTAGCTAGCGTTACAGGCATGCCTCCTTGGTTATTTGCACTATTATCTATAAAAAGTATTTTAACCTTAATTTAGATGCCTTCCTTCAGTAACTTTGTACAAACATTTATTATATAAATGTAGAAGTGAAATAATCCCAGCATTGGATCATGAATTTATCACAGACTATAAAAGCTGCCCCATGACTACACTGAGGCTTTAGGGAATATCTAGACCCAAACCATAACAAGCCTGTTGTAAAAGTAGTATTCTAGAAAGTGCCTTTTTGAGCTGGGGAGATAACCCAGTAGCTGAAGCGCTTGCCTGGCAGGGCAGGTCCTGAGCTCAGTCCCCAGTACCACAAAAAAAAAAAGAAAAAAGAAAAAGAGAAAGTGCCTTTTGTTTGGGTTTTTTCTTTCCTACTTACTGGCTCTTATTCTCTCAAGTCTGATGTCCAAATAAGATAAAAATAATTTTTTTCTGTTATCTCTGAATCTGAAATGAGCATAATTCTTCATTTAAGAATGAAGTTGCAAAAAAAAAAATGAAGTGCTGCTGGGTGTGGTGATGCACGCCTGTAATCCCAGCACTTGGGAGGCCAGGCCGGGAGGATCGCCATGTTCAAGGCCAGCCAGAACTACATAGTGAGTCCCCATCTCAGACAAAAAGAAAAAAAAGTCTGTTGCAGACTCCTAAAGAAAATTTTTTTACTTTCAGATGTAGGCAGATGGCCACAAATTGGGAGAATGTTTTATTCTTTTGTTGGTTGTAATCCACAGGTACCATTAGCCATACTCGAATGGGGAGACCTCAGCAACTGTGGGCTTTATAAGATGCTGTCCTTAGCTAACAGGTTTTAGAGAACATACTTGAATTTTCCTCATTTGCTGCTGCTTGCTTTGGCTCCTTGCTGCTGGGCCAGCCCTGCCCTCTCTTACTTGCTGTCTTGGGGACAGCCAGAGTCTCCTGGCCGGCCGGTGGAGGTGGCTTCCCGGGAGCCCACAGACACCCGCTAGCATGTGACTGCGGCTCGGATTTCAGTGCAGTCAGAAGTTTCCAGCAGCACAGTGTGTTCGATCAGAATGGGCAGAGCTGCAGCTGGCAGAACACCAAGCTCATGGGCGGGAGTGTTCGCGGAGGGCCTGTCCAATGGGGGCGGGTCTCCCACGGGCAGAGCAGCGAAGGCCACTCCTGGGAAGGAGAAACCTCAGCACGGAGCAGAGTGGGCGCAGTGCTCCTTCATCTGCGGAACCTGGCTCCTGTCCCCAAAGACCCAGCAGGTGAGGGTGTCTTGGGACGCCTTTTCTTCCACAGAAGGAACTGGCTAGCTTCCCACCAGGTAGATAATAGGGTTTAAAAACAACAAGAACAGGAAAAAAAAAAAAAAAACCTTTTAAATACTAGGAATCAACTCCTGGGGCGCTCAGCTGCAGCACTACATCCCCAGGCCTTTTTGGTTTTTAGCGTGAGATAAGGTTTTGCTGAATGGCCCAAGCTGACCTTGAATTTGCAGCTCTCCTACCTTGACCTCCCCAGTAGCTGGCATTACAGGCATGCCTCCTTGGTTATTTGCACTATTATCTACAAAATAGTATTTTAACCTTAATGCAGATGCTGTCCTTCAGTAACTTTGTACAAACATTTATTGTATAAATGTAGAAGTGAAAGTGTCCCTGCAGACCGGTCACAGAGCCCTGGGTGTGCTCCTATTAGTCGTATGTCAAGTGCAGATGAGTCAGGATTTTCTCAGTGTACTTTATATAAGATCCTCCACATGGGTGAGTTTTTGTCTTCTCTTCACATATTTCATAACATGTCACTGACACCAGTGTGGGGCTTTTCTGTCAGGCTTGGGGTGATCTGTTTCTGGCCTCTTTCTTCTAGGTCAATGAGTTTTTCCCTGGCTCTTATTCCCTAATTACAGGTTAAAGCAGATTAGATGTCTCATCTTTCCTTCCCGGGGAGGCCCAGAAGCAGTAAAGTAGCCTTTAGAAATGGTGGCGAAGCAGCCCTAGCAGGGGCATGAACTCTCATAGGTCATCTGTTCTCCCAGTTCCTCCCTTGTTTCAGACTTTTAAGTCTTTTCTTTATTTTTGATTTTTTGAGTCAGTCTCAGTGTATAGGCCAAGCAGGCCCTTGAATTCACTTTGTAGCCAGGCTGGCCTCAAATTTTCCATAATCCTGCTCAGCCTCCCAAGTGCTGGGATTACAGATGTTGCCAGTGTGCCTAGCTAATCTGTTTTTTGTGAAAGTTGTAAACAGAAAGAAAAGTGTAGTGAGAAATGTGCCTGCTGTCTGCCCCCAGCCTCACTTTCTCTAGGAGTCACTCTTAGGATTTCTTTGAATCTCTCTAGATTCCTTCTGTGCATTTAGAAGTCTCTACATCTGTATGTCTCTTCCCTCGCCCCCGCTTTTAAAAATTGAACAGAAACAGTTGTGTACACTGACCACTCTGTATCGTACTCCCTTAACAACCTCTTGAAGTTTTACCTAACTTGGAGGGGCGCTGTGAGTCAGCCAGCAGATACTGCTGGAGGCCTGCATCCCAGGCACACTTAGAGATGCCAAGCACGACAAGCGCACCGTGACTCCTCGGAGATGTGCCGTCCCTGCGCAGCCAGAAGCACTGCCAGGGCGCGAGGGAGTCATTCCCTGCACGGCGTCCTGCCTCGCCACTCGCGCCCTCCTGAGAGCCCGGGCCCAGCATGCAGGGACTGACGTGCAGATGAGTAAGGGCGGCTGGACTTGGCACTGAGCAGTTAGGAAGTGAGAGTCACTTCCATGAGGGTTTTAAAGTCACATTAGGTCTGACTCACAAGCCACAGGTGACTAATCAGCAAACAATTTTATTTAGCGGTTTTAGTTCATGTTCACATCAGAGCCTTCAGTTAATTTTTCTCAAGATGCAAAATTGCAGGATGAATTTTTTTTTAAAATTGACTCCATTCTAAATACCTCATTATAGGCTGGGGAGATAACTTGGCAGTCTAAGTGACTGCCTGGCGAGCATAAGGACCCAAGTTCAGTCCCCCCATACCACATGCCGTGCTGGCCACTGAAACTGGGCATGGTGGCGCATGCCTGTAATCCCAGCACTGAGGAGGCTGAGACAGGAAGATCGCTACTAGTCCAAGCTGCATAGTAAGACCCTGTACCAAATAAAAAATTAAAAACCTCAGGCTGGTGAGATAGTTCAGCAGTCTAAAGCACCTGCGTAGGCAAGTGCAGGGACCCTGGTTTGATCCCAAGCACCACCTGCTGCACCAACCCCCTGCCCCCAGGGCAGGCTAAGCTGGCCACAAAAAAAAATTAAAAATAAAAAAGAAATATAAACCTTATTTTGCTTTACGCAGTGGCACACCCCTGTAACCCAGCACTAGAGAAGCTAAGCCAGGAGAATCGTTGAGAGTTCAAGACCAGCCTGGGCTACATAGTGACACCCTGCTCAAAAATTTTAAAAAGCCTCATTGCATTGCAGAGTTTTGCTGGGAGGCCCATGTGAACCATGTCTGTGAAAGGCTTCCTTAACTTGGCCCTCCCTGTCTTTATCACAGCCCAGACGCTGCGGATAGCACCTCTTTCGATGTCCAGTTAGGAGACATTATCCTGACGGCGACAGATGGACTCTTTGACAACATGCCTGATTATATGATCCTGCAGGAGCTAAAAAAGTTAAAGGTAATTAACTCAAAGGCTCGTCCTTGGAAACAGCCTGCTCTGGCCAGCTGAGCTTTGTTCTTTGCACTATCTTTCTCTAGTTCTAGAAAGAACTAGCGTATGAGCTTTAGGAAATGATGGTTCTAATATTCTAAGTAGTCATGTGTGGAAATATTTGCAAGAACTTGAAGGAAAGGCAGCTTTTAGTAGGGTGGTGAAAACCAGAAAAGTCCATGTAAGGACATTTCTTGTGTGTAGTTTTCTATTTTAATGGTTTTGGTTACTGGTTGTCTTTTCCTTGTTTAATTCTTATAACACACCCAAGAGGTGTTGAGGTGGAGAGAGAACAGGAAGCAGTCCTGCCGGGGCCAGCCAGGAGCCACAGAGCTCGGAGCCTTGGTGTGGCCTGAGCTGCCCACAGGAATGAAATTATTCAGACTGCTCCCATGTGGAGAGTGGCGGGAGGGGGAAACGGGTTTTTCCCATTCTCTTGGCTTGGTGAAAGTACTAATCCGGGGAAAAATCAGGTTTTTTCCTAAGTCTTTTTGCCTAACCACTGACTTTGGGTAATTTCTTTCAGCTGTTCAAGCAGTAGTTTGTTTCCTCATATGTAAAATGGGAGTAGCAAAGGTCTTACCCTACAGGGTTGCAGAGACGAGTGGCCAGGAGTGTGGGAGGGAAGCCCTTAGTTCTTTGCCTTGTGCTGTCCACGAGCTGTGTGGTGCTTAGGTGCAGCGGAGCCTGTGCGCTGCAGTCACAGTGGTGAGCACAAGCCATGCCATCTGTGCCCTCAGGGAGCACGGATTCTAGTGGAGGCGAGCAGATCAGGCAGCTGTGCGTGCATGGTAGAATGTTTTGGGGTTTTTTTGGGGGGGATTGGTTTTTACTTTTTGTATTTGGTTTTTACTTTTTGTATCTGTCTCCCTACACAGATCAGATTTGTAGTGATCCTCCTGCTTTCAGCCTCCCAAGCGCTGGGATTGCAGGCGCACACCACCATGCCCTGTCTTGCATGGTAGAGTACTGATGGCAGGGTGAAGGAACAGGCCTCAGGGGCTGAACAGAAACGGACTTCGCTGTCCTGTCCCTATCTAGTAGATGAGGAAGTTGAAGCAGCAGAAATGAGGGTAACAGGCTGGAGTCCTGATGATAGAAAAGCCCATGGTATTCTCAGGAGGAAAACTGACGTGGGCCAGGGCACATTCCTGAGGAACCACGGGACCGTCCTGGAAATGCCGATGGAGTCCCACTTTTCAGCCCATCCTGTTTTAACAGGACTATCTTAAGGATTAAGGAAAAGAAAACTAGAAGTCCAGACTTGAGCACTTTCTGACCAAGGTTTGCAGCACCACTGGTGGTATCACTCAATAGTGACAGCCTGAAGCTTAAGGTTCCTCTAGCTAGAACAAAGCTTTAGTGTAGAAAATGTGTTTAGACAAATGTTACCGTCTTCAGAGGTGGAATCGGCAAGTAAGCTTGAATACAGAAATCATGCGTGTGTTACAGTAAAAATAACTGCTTACCCTCTCATCTTAGAATTCAAATTATGAGAGTATACAGCAGACTGCAAGAAGCATTGCTGAGCAAGCTCATGAGCTGGCCTATGACCCGAATTATATGTCACCTTTTGCACAGTTTGCTTGTGACAACGGATTGAATGTGAGAGGTAAGCGTTCTTTGGGAAGGTCACAGTAACTAACTGGGGACATCGCAGAGTGGGAGCATTCTGGGCACCCAGTGGGACTGCAGGTGTGTGCTCCCAGCTGGGAGCCCAGCCCGTGAACAAGGGCAGGAGGGCAGGGCTGCTGGGCTGTGTCCCGTCTTGCTCCCCAGGAGGCCCTTCGGAGCTCCAGGGCTGAACCTGACGGCTTTGTGGCTGCCTGGCCCTGAGCCCTAGTGCCCCCAGGACTGCGTGGAGGCCCACGCATTCCTAATGGTTCAACTCTCTGCCCTTCACGCGTCTGATATTTTGCTCTCCCTTCCCCTGGCTCTGTGGGACTCATTGACAGTATTTGCCAAATTGCCGTAGCAGATTTTGAAAAGGAAAGCAATGTGAAACTGCCCTTGACTGAGGAGTCCTTCTGTCTGCTGCGTGGTGCGCCTTTGGGAGCCAGCCAGTCGCAACGACATGTTGGTGCTAGCATCTTCGAACTAGGGGGCTTGGTCAGGTTCTTGCTGACGTAATATTATGACATGCAGAGCATTTCTTAGCCTTCTAAGAAATGTTAAAATAGAAAAAAGCACGTGCCATAGCTGTTTGGCAGATTAGGATACAAGGCTATTCCTAGTTTCAAAACATTGGATATGTTTGTCCAAATTAGGATTGTGATAAAGGCATGTAACTCTCTCGTCAGGCTGAAGTTATCTGAGCAGATTGTGTCTCTCCTGTGATTGATGTAAACAGAGGATGTGGTATCCATTTTCAGAGTTCCTGCTATAAAGGAGCAGGGAGACTTCAACTAAATTACATGAAAATTCTTGGTGTTTAACATTTAAAAATACTTTTTCTCCTTTTTTCTCTGCTAGAGTGCTATAGTATATTGACAAACCAAGTCTTCCTAAAATGCAGCCATTTGTCTTTACTTAGGCCTACTTTTTTGACTTTTTCTTAGGGGATGTACTGATAGGTGTTCCCTTTTGTTTTAGGTGGAAAGCCAGACGACATCACTGTCCTTCTCTCGATAGTGGCGGAGTATACAGACTGACTTGCCCAGCTCCGACTCCTGCCTTCCCTCTTCTTCCCCGGTGTTCCTGCCACGTGTGCTGATCCTGCTGGCAGGACCACGTTTTGTTGCCACTGATCTCAATGGCCAGTGATGTAAGCCTTTGCCTGTCTTTTTGAGACCCGTTGAGATCTTTGTTGAGAACCACTACTATCATTCACTAGCTTGTATCTGCCAGCAACAACTGAAGAGGTACAAGATTTGAAGATTGGCCTTCATTTCTCATGGAGATTTTCAAAGCCTATTACTTTTCAAAGGCTATTACTTTTCAAAAGCGGTTGAAGTACTGAAAATGAGTAATGTTGGTAAAGTGAATTCAAAGTTACAGTGTGTTAAAGGGATTTTAAAAGTCTAACAAATAGTATGTAATGATACATCTACTAAAAACATACATCATTCATCAAAGAAACATTCACACATACTCCACAGGCGTTGTCTTTGTTACAATGATTGGATGTGGCATTAAGTTTTCAGTATAAACTCCTATTTTCCAGGAGTTTATAATTCTGCTCTAAAACTGCTCTGGGTTATGAAACTTTGATCCCCAGAGATTTTTAGTTACAAATTGGAATAAAAGTTAATTTTAGTTTTATGGACACCAATATTCTGTGCTTTTAAAAAGATGCTTGTGTTCCTGTGATTAAAGTTGAGCAGTTTATTGATGAGTCCACCTCACAAGCTAGTGGCCTGATCTAGAGAGGCTGAGGAAGGAGACACCTTACCAAAAATTTTTAATGGAAATAGTACTCAAGGTTACAAAAAACTCCTCAGAGCCGAGAATTTACCTTTATGGCTGAAGTTTTTCCCTGCTGTCTGAAAGGATGCCCTGGATGGGATCTCTAGGCCCCGCTGGCCTAGCAAGTTGAGGACAGACAGCTGTAGCTGCCACATTCACTGGCTTTGACAGTTGCTGCCCATCATGTGCCGTGAGGCCTGCCCCGAGGAGCCGGGCTTCCCTAGAGAATGCCCAGACCCACTGCAGCGCCTGGCAAGCGCACCGTGTGCCGTGGCTGCCGTACAGAGCCCATGAGGAAAACTAGTGACGCTCGACACTGCGGTTCCCCCAGACAGAAATGCAGGGGTTTTTGAATCAAGCTTAATGTTTACAGTTTCCGAATAGCCATTTGCAGTGTATAGTTTCCTTAAAAACTACCCCGCATTCAGTTTCCCATTACCTGCAAGCTCAAACTTATTTTTAAGGTTTGTGTACAAGTTGACTGCTGTAAAGATATATATTTTTGGGTCCGTTTTTTCCTTCATTAACTTGGTGGTAGAAAAAAAAAAAAAAAAAAATTGAATTCGAGTCCAAATACTTAGAAACCCTTAAATTAAAGCCATGTTTTCTATGAGTCAGGTAATGTTGGTGTATAGATGAGAATGCAGTGAAACCTGAAGAGCATCTACTTGAGGAGAACACAGAAAAGTCTTTTCTCTAAAGGAGATACTGACTCCCTGGTTTATTGCATTAAAACTTATGTTTGAGGTTACCTCAACTTGTTTTAAAAGATTTTGTTTTGTGAAATTGTACTGTATATTTGAGTAACTGTCGAGCTTTTGTTTTATTTAAAATTGTTTAACATGTACCATGTACATGTCATTACTATATTTCAATGCATCATGCTTGTAACAGGCATTTCATTTATAATAAGAATGAGTTATTCATTTGTAAGCTGTTCAGTAATTTATCTACTATTCCTAAATTGGCATAATGTTAGGTACCTATTTTGAATCACCTTGAAGTTCATGTCAGAATGCCTTAACACCCTAACTTGACGAAATGGAAATCTTTGGTAGATGAGATGGAGGGGTGGAGTGGGGGAGACTATTTCAGTAAGGAGAAATCATCATGCTCTGATCAAACACAAAGCGTGAGTGGCAAGTGGTGGGGTATTTATTTTACACAAACTATTTGCAGTCTCTGTGTATTTAAAACATAAAGAAAGTTGCATCCAGAAAGGGTTTTTGTTAAAAGGAAAATACATTTATGTGAGGACTGATGACTTCAACTCTAGATTTGTAATTATTTTTGGTCTGAGATACATAGCCTTACGATCTGGATAGATTTTGTATTAGTTTTCCAACATTTGCATTTAATTCCTGGTAAGAGCAGTGCTGGTCGAGTTACTGGCTTTGCTCCACTCTCATTTCACCCATCAAAGCATCCTTGTGACGTGAAGCCAGATCGGTGGTGTCTTACACACTCATTTCTCACTTTTTGAGAAATCATTGTGGCTGTTTCAGTGGCACTGAAAATAATGGGACAAGAACTGAGTTTCACAGTGGAATGGCCTTTCGACCAGGCCTCCTATAGGTTAGTGACATTTTCTGGGTTGTTTTGTTTTCCCGTCTTTTTTGTTATACGTTTAATTTTATAACTGCCAGGAGACAGGCAGAGTGCTGCTTAGCAAGTACCTCTTCTCGGTGTCAGAGGAGGTGTTGGGCCCAGGGTAGAACTTTCCAAGTCGCATGGCCAAGCTTCTGGGTGTGGCTGAGCTCTGTCACTTGGTGGGTCTGGTTCTGAACCTAATGTGTGTGTATGTGTGTGTGTTAATTGTATTTTAAATCAAGCAGTGTAAACACACATTTGGCTCATGTAATGAAGTTTTTATAACAAAAGAGAAAATTTGGATTTCTAATTTACAAATAGCAAATTATCCCTCTCTGGATGCACCAAAGACCAGTAAAGTTTATAGCTTTTCCATCTATATTTATAAAGCAATACTGTATTATAAAATCAATATTTTTATCACACGCTTGAAATTTTTATTTTGTTCTGTTTTAAAATTTGCACTCTAAACATATCAGAACCTTATTTCTTCCTATGAACTTAAGCTGCCTGCGCACAAAAGGAATTTACCAAATGGAGATAAAGTACATCAAGTCCATAGGCTCTTACAACCCGAGAGAAGGAAGGAGGGGGACAGTTATTCATCCAGACTTACTGCACTGTTCTCATGTGACGTGGCTGATGGGCGCTGACTCACAGATCCATTCCAGGCGTGCGTGTGTGTCGGGGGCGGGCGGCACCTAGGTAGAGACTCAGACCCCAGCGAGCTTTGTGTGCTGGGACACACCTCTCCTGTCAGCTGCGCATATTCTAGACAGAGTGGCCCGCAGATGGACGTCACCTTCGGTACCACCAACCTACTACATCAAGTAACAAGGCAGGAATTGTGAGAATTTACTGAGTCTGTTTTGAGTGTTTTGGAATGGTCGACAAGATTGGCTAGAACTGTAAATGTTTGTACTTTTCGGATATATTCATGGTTCCTTGTCACCTTATGCCAGCTATCTCTGATAGAAGCTACAGCATTCAGTTTCTCTAGGAACTGAGTCACATTCTTGCGTTTAGCAAATTTTACCATGCCAAAAAATATCTGCTTGTAAAACAAAACCTGAAACAGAAAACATTTGGATTGTATTAGTTTTTACAAATTTGTTGCAAAATTGAACTTCTCAATTAAAAATGGTATCCATGTCAAAATTTGTTAGCAGGTAGTTTGTGACAAAGAAGGCTAAATAATGAAGCATTTGAATCTGTGTATACTAATGAGCTGCTTTTTTCTGTTGAGACTATCATTATTTGTCTTACCCAAGAGGCAGTTACCTGAATTGGATGTCAGAAATATAACTTATGCAGGAATAGTTCTGTATATACATTTAAATAAACTGTAAAGGTATTTAATAAATATAGTATTTATACTACTCTGTGTACTTGTTTTGGTTTCAGTAGTAACTAAGTGAGACTGGCCCTCAGCATTGAGTTCATTGATTTCTGTCAAGTCACTACCCGGATTGCACTTCATAGCTATCATTTTCTATCCTTGACTGTTTTAATCACCACGGCTTTCTCACCAGCTGTTTTACTGTATCAGTTAGGTTTCCTCATAAATTCATCAAAAAGGGTTGATAGTTAATTGTGAAGTAGAGGTTTCCCCCCAGCTGAGGCTTTGCACCTTGCAAATGTCACAGGGTAATGTATTTGAACTCCAGTCCAAAGTGAGTATACACACACACACACACACACACACACACACACATAAATAAATGAATAAAATTTAAAAAAAAAAAGTGAGTATAGTTGAACACTGTACGTCTCCCTTATAGACCAGCGCTGTGCCAGGAAACTGGGGAGAACAGCCCCTTCACAGCCACACTGGAAGCTTCGTCCTCAGTAAGGACACCTTAGCTTACTCTTGTGTGTACACAGTAGCTGCAGTCATTTGCATTTGTTAGGAGTGTTACAAATGCAATCATCAGTGTAGCTTAAGACACATATATCTTAGGCCTACAGGGAGAAAGAACGTAGTTGAAATTATGTGGGCATTGCCAGCTTCCACAAATAGCTTGGTAAAAGCCCATTTTCATTCACTGAGGAAAATCTTGGGATGAACTTGAGTTTTTATTAGGTTATTGTGGGTAGCTGTGATTCACTACTAAGCTGTAAGAGCCAAATTCATCCTGGTTTCAATTCACAGTTCTAGAACATACTAATCCACTCAGCCATCTTTTGAATGTTCTTGTACAATCTCAAGAGTTGCTTGCCAGCGAACACCTTTTTATGGTTTGATGGTTTCTCAAACAGCGATAAAAAAAACCTCATTTGTTGTATTATAAACAGGTTCCAAGGAGGAAAGAGACACATGCCATAAGATACTACATAACTGGATTTGTGCCAGGTTTTCTTAGCCTGTGCAGGTAACAAGTTCTGTTCTCAAAAAAGAACAGACACATTTGTCTTCCACCTCTTCCAACTCCAGATGCAGGCTCTGAGTAAAAGTTGCTGCTGTGTCAGATAATAGGAAATATTTGGTTACTTCCATTAAATTCTTTTCTGAATCACACTGCAAAATAAAAACTCAAGGGTCAGTGAGATAGCTCAGGGAACTAAGCACTTTGCTTACACAAGCACAGGGACTGGGGTTCAATCCCCAGCACCACATACCACGCTGGCCCCGCCCCAGGGTGCGCTGAGCTGGCCACCAAGACCGGGTGTGGTGGCACACACCTGTAATCCCAGTGCTGGGGATGCTGAAAACAGGAGGATCAGTACGAGTCTCAGCTGTGTAGTGAGACCCTGTACCAAATATATTCAGTCATTGAAACCAGAAAAACAGGAGGCTAGGAAATAAAATTCTACAGTATATAAAAAGACCATTCAGAGTGTAGTGGTATAACTGCGTCCTGGTTCTGAGAGGCTGAGGAGCTATGACCACAAATTCAAATTATGGTATGTGTCTCTTCCCTCTTTTGAACCTGTTTATAATACAAATTAATGAGACCCTGTCTCCAAAAAAAAGGTTGGAGATAGAGCTCAGTGCAGAAGCCCTGGGTTCAGCTACCAGTAACAAACAGATGGCGGAGTCTAAATGATTGTTTTTTCTAGAGGTTACTTTATATAATATTTAATAGGACAAAAAAAAATAATTACACAAGGTTATATAACTGCAGTTTCTAAAAGCACCAAAATCTAAATGTTTGCAGTCAGCTACAGAAGATGGCCTGGCTGCTAGTCACAAAATCATTTCAAGCCATCCTGACATTCTCCAAATGGCTGCCAACAGTTCGCCTTTATAAAACTGGCAGAGTTGAAGGCTCCAGGGTGAACATGAACTGAATCAAAGAACTCTAACTGGCTTTTTTCTACACAGTGAACTTCTGCCTCCAAGTAATTTAAAACCAATGTTATGCACTGGACAAACAGCTATTCCTACACTGAGTCATGTGCAAGGTGATGTTTAGAGAAGCGGAGCCCCCCATCCCTGTCACAGAAGTCTGGGACACTTGTACACATGGTGTGAAAGCCTGCGGGGTGCCAGCGGCTCAGTCTTCCTCGCTGTCGCTTGCCATGGCCAGGTTCTCTAAAGGCTGCGGGTGGTGTTTCTGTGGCTCAGAAGAAACTGCTCCAAAGAATATGGACGAAAACTAGAGGGGAGAAAAGAGCCATCCTGTTACTACCAAGTGAAAGCTTGTTCAGTAAAGCTCTAGGTGACGGCCCTCTTGGAAATGTGGCCACAGTGGTTCCCCTGGCTTAGCTGATGATTTGTGGGATACCACAACCCTTGATGCTGGCCCAGCACGTCAGAAACCAGACCCTTCACTGACCTCATGGGCCCAAGCCAGGTCTGGACTAGCAATCTGCCGACCTGCCAGCCAAAAGGCTGTGGGGCAAGCTGAGCACCTACCTCCCAGGCCTTTGCTCCCCAAGTTCCTTTCTAGTCCAGAGCCCCCATTTGCTCTGTGCCTGCACCAAGCCCCTCAGGCCTCTCCCCTACACCCCAAGGGCTTCAGCACCTGCGGATGCTCCTGTCTTTCATTCTTGGCACATAGCCTGCAGGAGCAACCACCTTGCCTTCACATGGAGCTGTGTGCATGCGCCAGCTCTTGGTCCTCACAGAGGCCACTCTTACACAGCCACTGCACCTTCAACCTCACTGCCATGTCCAGGCTTTACCCTGCTTGGCTGTTGCTCCGACCTTTCCCTGCTGCGCCACCCCCCTGACCCACTCGCCACTGACTGCTCCACACTCTCACCCTCTTCTACACGGCGTGCACCTGGGCCCTTGGCTGATGCCTGGGCTCTGATGATCTTTTGCTGCTGTGTGAGATGCCAGGCTATCATCTCCCACTAGAGGCCTCCAGCATTGTAACTTCAGCGCTGTAACATCCAGAAGCCCAGAGAGGGCCAAGGTCCCCTTGGGGACGCAGTCCCCCCTGGTTAGGAACCATGGGTTTCGATGATGGTAGTCCTGAAACTGAAATTACTGTCCAGGTGCCAGGAAGTAGGAATTTGAACTTCAGCCCACATATCCTGCTGCCTACTTGATTCCTACCACGTAATCGATCCAAAACAGAACTCACAATGTGGGGTGGGGTGGGGGGGCAGGAAGGTATTTTTGAGACAGGGCCTCACTATGCAGCTCTGCTTGGCCTTCGGCTTACTTTGCAGGCCAGGCTGATCTCCAAATTGAAGCAATCCTCAGGCTTAGCTTTAGTGCACGGATTACAGACATGTGCCACCACACCCAGCAGAATTCATGGTCTTACAAACCTTGAACCTGCTTCTCCAAAACTAAGTCACCCTTCAAATAGCCCTCCTTCCTGAACTCCTGGACCCTCTGTCACCAGACCTGGGAGTTCTGCCTCCTGACTTAGCTGTTGCCCTACTTCTCTTTTTTTTTTTCTCTCTCTCTTTTTTTTCTTTTTTTGGTGGAACCGGGGATTGAACTCAGGCCCTTGCGTTTGCCAGGGAAGCACTTATTCCACTGAGCCATCTCCCCGGGCCCCTGCCCTACTTCTCTTGACTTCTCTTTCTCCGGTGCTGCACCGAGAGACTGTTCTTGCCTCTCTGCACCCTATTTTTCACACAGCTAATGTTATCTTGTAAATATCCAACCACCAGTTTCACTCGTAAACACCCTCAAATACCTTAAATACTAAGGTCCTTTATATGGCTGTTGACATGGTGTACAGGACTCCTCGGGCCTGACTGGCCCTCAGCAGTTGCTCTGGTTTCATCTTGTGTCCTCGTCTCCCGTGTGCTCTCCTGCCACCTTTCTGTTCCCTAAAACCAGCACCCCTCCCACCACAGGCCGTTGCCTGCCTCCTCCCTCCATACACAGCCTTTCCAGCTCAGCTCATACACCAGGTTCAGGACTCTGACCTTCTGGATTAGGTCACTGTGCACATTAAATCTCAGGGCACCCAGGACTTTTATTAAATTTATCACAGCTTTTTAAAAATTGCCATATTTCTAGTTACGTGATGTTTATATCTACACACTGTTCCTTATGCCCTACTCTGATCAAATTGAGGAGCCCTGCCTACTTTGCTCCCAGCAGCGCCCCTCCCATGGCTGCCCAAGACTTGGCACCCCCAGCAAACACCTGAATAGCCCTGTTGCTACGTCATCCTCACTACCAGAGGCGCAGGTGCACTTGTAAGCCTGCAGGCCTCAGCCCAGACAGAAAACCCCACCAGGAACGGTGACTGCCCAGGACACCTCTGTCACACAGCAAGGGGAACTGAAGCAGTGGGCAGAAAGAAAGCAGCTGGCATGGGCTCGCCAGGCAGCTGGTGTGGTCAGGAGGACCCTAGGGTGTGGAAGCACAGGGCAGGGCTTGAGGGAAGAAGTGCTGTGGGCCGACTTAGCTGCAGATGGGCACCTCTGCCAGAGCTGCCAGGGCCCCTCAAGCTGCAGAGGGTGGGAAAACAGACTCCACTCCAGTGGGGAGAGCATGGTTCTGCCACTTCATTTTAGCCCAGTAACAACCTGTGACCTTCCGTGGGATATTTACATTTGCTTTGTCCCAAACTGCTGAATTTTTTGTAAACTAGATAGTGCTGTATCCTGTAATCCCAGTACTTGAGAGCCTAAGGCAGGAGAAGCATGCAATTGAGGCCAGCAGGCAAGGAGCCCCCCCCTCAAAAAGAGTGATGTGTTTTAGGAACAGGAAGCTGCTCCACTGGCCCTGAGCATGTCCAGAGGCGCAGTCCTCCCCAAGCCCCCCAAAGGTCTTCTAGAGGAGAAAACAATAGCCTCCAGGCAACTGGGAATGATCCAGTCCGAATTGGGCAAGAAGACAGATAATCATACAGTGTTTTTAAAATAATACATACTTTTCTCGATGTTAGGGACCCTGGAGGCTACATATAACTTCTTGGTTTTATTTATTTATTTATTTATTTATTTATTTATTTATTTTTGTGGAACCAGGAATTGAACTCAGGCCTTTGAGCTTGTCAGGCAAGCACTTATTCTACTGAGCCATCTCCCCAACCCCATAACTTCTTGTTTAAACCTAGTTAAAATTAAAGCCCAAGAAGCCATTGCACTATCATTTTAAGTATAATAATTCTACAATGGTTTAATTTTTGAAAACTCCCTTTCTTTTTTCTTTATATCTTTTTCTTTTGTGTGTGTGTGTGTATGTGTGTGTGGTACCAGAGATTGAACTCAGGACCCTGAATTTACCAGGCAAGCACTTATTCTACTGAGCTATCTCCCCGGCCAGAAAACTCCCTTTCTTAATGTAGTGTGATTTCAGTTTGTTGTTGCTGTTGTTTGTTTTGTTTCATTTTTGAGACAAAGTCTCTCTCTGTAGTTCAGGCTGGCCTTGAATTCACTATATAGCCCAGGCTGGCCTGGAACTCACAGAGATCCTCCTACCTCAGTGTCCCCCAAGTGTTGGGGTTGCAGGTGTGTGCCACCATGCCCGGCACAATTTGGAATTGGATGGGTTCTTAATTTTTTTTTTTCCATAGGAACCAGGCAGAGTGGCACATGCCTATAATCTGAGCTACTCCAGGCAGAAGCAAGACAATTGCAAGTCGGAAGCCAGCCTGGGGGAACTTAGTAAGACCTTGTCTCAAGAAATAAAAAGGGGGGGGGCCTGGCCCTAGCTCAGTCCTTTAAGTGGCTGCTTCCACAAAGCTGTCAGCCTCAGGTTGCTGGAGTTCGAACCTCACAACTCTCCCGTTGGCCAAAAGTGCCCTGAAGGCATTCGAGGACCAAAAAAAAAAAAGAAATAAAAAGGGTTGGCATATAGCTCATAGCACTTGCCTGGCATGTGTGCAGTGCTGGATTTGATATCCAAAAATAATTTTTTTAAGATACCCCAAACCAGGGTTGAAGGTATACAAATTGCCAGCTATGTACCAGGAGGACAGAAATGAACTGACAGTCTACTTAGCAAGGTAACAGTTATGTATCACATTAGGTTATTACAGGACAGTTATCATGGACAGGATGAACAAAATGCTGCAGGTGCAATGAGATGGTAAGAAAGAGGAAGGGCCAGGCCTTGAAGACTGGATGGAAATTTAAGAGTGGAGAAGAGAGACTGGGGATGTAGTTCAGCCCGCCTGGCAAGCACAAGCGAGGTTGTGAATTTGAGTCCTAGGGGAAAAAAAAGTGGAGAAAGGAGAAAGACCGTGGCCTAGGCCGTAAGGAAGAATGGACCAGCAAGAACAGTTGAATGTGCCGACCTTCCAACCAAACACTGGAGTGGCGCAGATGCACACACTCCCTGTTGCTTCCAGACGCTGTATTAGAGCTCATCAGCTAATGCAGCAAAAGACATCGACTGAAGAAATTACAGACTAAAACTATCTTGTGTAAACACTGTATACAGTATGCCTGGAAAATCAAAGGTAAAATGATGGAAACAATAAAACAATTCAGGAAATAATAACAATAAAGTAGCAGCATAGAAAATTAACATGCAATAAGTAAATGAATCAATGCTGGAAAGGTAAAAGGGTGGGGGAGGGAAGGAGAAAAAAAAATGTGTCATGTACATGTGCCAATTCCCTACAGTAAATGTAATCTTCATATACTTCAAACATGCTAACAAAAGTAAAAAAAATAACGTGAAAAAAAATACGTCTACAGACACAAAAGATAGGCTGTCAGAACCTAAAGGTATCTACACTAACAACTGAAATTAATTACATAGCAATATAATAATAAATGTGCAACATGTCCATGAGAATTTGGAAACACTCCTGGGGGCAGAGAGCTAGCTCAGCAGCACAAGCACCCGCCTGGCAAGCATAAGCCCCTGAGTTCAATCCCTGGTACCAAAAAAA